TGCTTATTCAAACCTGCTGCTGAACTCTTCTACTGAATTTCTCATTTCAGTTATTGCACATTTTTTTCCACTTCAAAACTGATGTGTGTATGTGTGTGTATGTATCAAATTGATATTCTCCATTTGGTGAGACATTGTTCTCATACTTTCCTTTTGTTCTTCAGATATAGTTACCTTTAAGTCTTTAAATATATTTAAAATAGTTTAAAGACTTTGTCTAGTAATATCAATGTCTGGATTTTTTCAGTGGTAGTTATATAACATGGCAACTCTGAAAATTCTCTTCCCAGGATTTGCTGTTGTTGCTGTTTCTTACAGTTGCTACTATTTGTTTAGGACTTTCCTGAACTAATTCTGTAAAGTTTGTCACAGGTGACCATGGAAATCTCTGCTCAGTAAACTTAAATGTCAGCTATTGACTGAAAGCAGATATCTTTACATGCCTGAAACCACTAATTCTTCCAGCTTTTGTCAAGGGTCACTGAGTGTGTATGTTGGTGCATACCTTCAACACTCAGCTAGGAAGTTTATAACTTAGCCTTGCCCTGCTTGCACAGAATCTGAAGGTTATCCTGAGGTAAGAAATCAGGATATCCTCAGGTCTTTACTGAGCGTATGCATAGCCCTGGGCACGTATACAGTCCTATGCATGTGCATAGCTATCTAGATTCCCATGAATATATGGGAACTTTTCAGAGCCGTTATGGAAACCTCATTCTCCAGCTTTTCCTTTCAAATGTTTTGGTTAGTTTTTGCCCCAGCTGTTATCTACTGCATCAGAGAGTTGCAATGTTCAACAACTGCTTCTGATTGTTTTGGACAAAACCCCTAGGTAAAAGGTTATTCATACTGGGCAAGCTCCAAGTCAGGTTAAAAGATAGCCTTGTAAGTGGGGTCTTCCAGGGAACTACCAAATAAGTTGAATATTCTCTGGGAATGGGGCTTTGAAGGAGTGCCAGCCCCCCTCTATTCCCTCCAGGGGTTGTCACACTGTTGATTTTCATTGTGCTTCCAGGCTACTGATTTTCAAGGCTACCGTAGAGCTTGGGAGGGAGGGAGGTGAGAAGTGCAAGTTAAAACACTACAAAGTGCACTGTCTATCAATATTCAGCCTTTTTTCTTGTATATATACTTCCCAGATTACTGAAGGCCTTCGATGAATTCACGGAGCTCCAGTAAAGTTATTCTGACAATTTTTGCAAGTGTTCTTGTTGCTTTTATGGAAGAGAGAAATTTCAGAGGTCCTTACTCTACTGTTTCATTGACATTTAATCTAAAACCCTTACTCTTAATCACCACACCATAGTGCCTGATACAGAATTGATTTATAAATAATGGTCAGGGTTTTGTTTGTTAACAAAAATGCTCTTAATTGTCTTAAGTACTAGGTAGAATTATGGATAGAGTACTGCAAAGAGATCATAGACCCTGTTTAGGTGATATCTAAATTAGTTTTAGTACCTGGTCATTTCTGGAAATAGATGGTCACTGGAATCCTTCTCCCACTTGCAAAAACAAATGGGAGCACATTAGAGTTACAGAGTCCATTGTGTGGGATGGGGAAGAGGAAAAGTTTATGTGGGAACCATTAAAGTTCTCTATCTGCAGACACTATATGAATGGCTTCAGCTTTTCTCCCTGTAGATTAAGGAACCGAATGACACTTTGGACTCCCGTTCTTGCCTTTTTTTAAAATTATTTATTTATTTATTTATTTATTTTTGACTGCGTTGGGTCTTCGTTGCTTCGCGCAGCTTTCTCTAGTTGTGGTGAGCGGGGGCTACTCTTCACTGTGGTGCACAGGCTTCTCATTGCAGTGGCTTCTCTTGTTGCAGATCACGGGCTCTAGGCACGTGGGGTTCAGTAGTTGCGGCTCGCAGGCTCAGTAGTTGTGGTGCATGGGCTTAGCTGCTCTGCAGTATGTGGGATCTTCCCGGACCAGGGATCGAACCCGTGTCCCCTGCATTGGCAGGTGGATTCTTAACCACTGCACCACCAGGGAAGCCCCTCGTTCTTGCCTCTTATGCCAATGCCACAGCTGAATTCGCTGTCACTGCCTAGTCTTTTTAGATGGATTAAAATTCCTCTTTGGCTATACTTTTATGTAACTCCAAAAGAACAAAATAAGCATCACTGCACTCACATCTGCACACTGTATAATTCATGATCAAGTTATGATCTCCCCTGTACTTTCTAGTCCAGGCTCTTTCTTATTCAGGAGGAGTAAATCAGAGGCAAGGTGGACGCTACCACTGGAATACCTGTACTCCAATACCTCACTGCTGACCAGAAAAATCATTACCATTTTTAATTCCACCTCCCAGCAGGGCCAACATGTACCTTGACTCAGACTGCCTATTTATATGACTCTACTAAGAACATTTTATGGTTTCCTGATAACCTGCCCCAGCTATAACATACCACAACTATAACAAATTTATTCTTAAAAGGAATAAGTTGAATTAATTTTTATTTAAAGACCTTAAAATGGCACTGTGCCCTCTAATTTTAAAGTCTATAAAAAAGAAAAAATAACAGTCAAAAGTAGATTTAAATTTGATATTCTCATTTGTGCTCAGTTGGCTTGATGAAGAAAAAGATTTTTTTGGTTCACCATCAAGGTATTTGTTGACAATCAGCTAAGAGTCCAGTGAAATATGTTATTTCTTAAAGGAAGTGAAAATATATTGCACTTCTGCAGTCTACATCTTATTTCTTCATTAGAAATATTATCTTTGACCTCTTCTTACTCTCATTCAAGATCTGAACTGGGTTACCTTCTGCCTTTCATATATTCTACTTCTGCTTAAATAATCTCCAATCTCTGTTTCACGTTAGTATGTTTGCATACTACTTATGGTCATTATAAGAGTTCTGCATCTACTACTTAGTTCATTTTCACAGTTACTCTGTTAGTTTTTGTTTTGCAATACTACAATGTTCTAATTTTATAATATCCGTTTATCCTAAACCCACCAGAAAACAGCAGGTGGTAAGTGGTGCAGAGGGAGGAAAAATGCTAAATTTTGTCACTGACACTAATATGCTGTAATACAATTATTCTCTGTAACAAACCTGCTCAGTCACTGCCTCAAAATGCAAATGAACTATCCTTTTTCTTGATAAAAAGTGAAATTTTAAAAGTTTATGCAAGGGGGACTTCTAGCATGTTGGTAATATTCTCTTTCCTAACCTAGAAGATAGTTCCAGGGGTGTTTTCACTTTGTGATAATTCACTGAGCTATATGTTTTGTTCTGTGCACTTTTCTGTATACATGTTATATCCCAGTATAAAAGAGTTTTCAAAAAGAGTTTATTATTTGGAAGCTCTATGCTGGCCAGAAAGCAAAACTACATTAGAAAACAAGAAGAATCTAGAAATTATCAAAGATAATTTCAGTTGTTGATTATTAGTAGCACTGCATGTCTTTGTACTAATTAATACTAATATACATAGAACCAGCTTTCACAAATAATATTTTAAATGCCAAAGTAACATTCAATGTGAATAACTTTTACAGAATGCAATGTATTCAATAGTAAATATAAGAAAAGTTTCTTATCTTAGTCAGTTACGTCTTAGCAGGATATGTATCAATTTTCAAAATTTTCATAATTGATAAGACCACTGTAATAAATAAGAATGCATCTTAAAAGAAAAAACTTTTCCTTAAAGCTTTTTGCTGGTAACTGTAGACAATAATATTGCAGTACTGTACATATTTGAAAGTTGCCAAGAGATTAAATTGTAAGTTCTCATCACAAGAAAAAAAGTTTTGTAACTTTGTATAGTAATGGATGGTACCATTTTGCAGTACACACAAATATTGAATCATTATGTTATATACCTGAAACTAATATAATGTTATATGTCCATTATACCTCAATTTAAAATTTTTTCAAGCTTTTTGCAAAGACAGCCTCTTAGAAATAATTTTGGCAAAGGCAAAGCAGTGTTAAGATACTCCTTTTATTTTTTAAAAAAAACTATAGTTCTCTCCGCAAAGGCCAGTTTGCACACATTATAATCTGAAGTACAGAAATGAAATTCAATTAGTTTTGCCTCTCATTTTAGAAATACAATCTCTCAAATATTTTATTCAGTTAAAATACATAAAAGCTGAATTTAAAGTTTTACTCCTAGTGCACATGCCCAAAAGCCCTATGAGTAAGTCTAGGAGTTCTGAAAGCACAAAGTGTGTCCTCCTGCACTTCTGCTGAAGCTTCGTGGCAAAAAAAATTATTTTAAATAATTACATATGTATTAGAATATCCTCACTATGCAGCAATGGTCTACCTAAGGCTAGAGCTACAGCAAGCAACAGTGTCATTTCAAGTAGGTAGCAAGTGCTTTACAGATGCTCCTCCCACAGAATGTAAAATGAGACTATTTTATGATTTAAGAAGACACACAAAGTATCCTGTTTTATCCATTCCTAACTTTTAAAGTAAAATCCAGCTAACTGACTTAAGTGTAAGAGGAAAAGAAAATTAACACCTCATAAACAGATACTTTACATGTATTATCTGATTTTACCCTCATAATATTGAAGGTAGTATTACACTCCAAGGAAAACAGCTAATAGTCACAAAATCAGTCAAGAGAAGAGATGACAACTGAGTACTGAAGTTGGGTTACCCCACTATACTATGTTACCTCCAACCTAATTTTTCTGCCTCCCGACTTATGCTTCCACATTATGTTTCATTTGTAGTAAAAACTATGACTTAAGAAGAAAACAGAAAAATATCAATATTAAATTCTATATAATTAAATAATAATTTCACTTTTTGTTTAAAAATCATACCAATGTCTGAATGCCTAATAAATACCAGGTGTTTACACTCATTATTCCTATCAGTATTTATTATTAATAATGTACCAACATATATATACACACACATACACTCACCAGAACTCATTAGATCTGAAACATGATGTTAGGGCATGGTAAGAAAACAAACAGAAGCATGGTAGAATACTGATGTCTACTGCTTACCAGTTTTTCTCTGAATGTGTCTTTTCCCAGCTTCCCTGAAAGCAATAACAGCTCTGAAAAAAGCTCGGAGAACTGCCCAACGGAAAACAGCTACTGGATCAATTCCAATCATCCCAGAGATAAATGCATTCTTGCTACTTCGCAGAAGAGCTACAATGTCAGGGCGCATATGATCTGTATTTTTTTCCCGGAAATCCTACATGAAAAAAGTACCAGTGTTACTTTTGAAGAAATTATTAAACCAAGAAGATAATGGGTGACATAAATGAACAGTGGTTGAATAAGGCTATAGAAGTGACTTCTGTTTTAGGCAGCTAAATGGACCAGATAGTTATCCTCTACAAAGTCCCATCTGATCCTAAAACTATTTAATTCAATAATTAATTTAAATTAGAATAAGCATCCCACAATCTTATTGCAGCTTGTTAAACACTGGTCAGGGAGAGACTCTCTACAGGACTATCACATAAAATGACAAGAGAGTTGAATAACAAAAAGGAGCCAGAAATGAGAAGACCAGGAACAGCATTTCAAAGGGAACACCTACTACCTATAGGTGGCAATGAGTTGAACAAGTTAGGAGAAAACCAGTAAGACCAGGGGCTGGAGCATTCTTGGCAAGGGTGAGAGTGGTAGAAGAATAAGCAAATAAATAGGCTATGTAGGCTATGTAAGCCTGAACCAGGAGTTTGGGTTTTATTCAAGTGTAAAGAAAAGCCACTGAAAGGATAATGACTTGAGCTAACTGGTGTTTTATAAACATCACTGGCTGCTGCAGAGGGAATGAACTGTACAAAGATGGAAAAGGTAGGCCAGCTATTGCAGTATTCCAGAAGAACTGAAAGTGACTTGAACTACATTGATGGTACTAGTGGAAAGGGAAAATAGTTATCATATTTGGGATATGTTTTAGAGGTAAGGACAAAGGACTTGCTGGTGGATTAGGGCATGGTGAGTGAATGAGGAAATTAGGTTAACAACTATATTTTGGGTTTGAGCAACAAAGTGGATAGAGGTACCATATACTGATATGGAGACGACTAGAGAAAAGAGAAGGTATAAGGATAGAAAATGAGGATTAGGAGGTAAGTTTTGTCCAAGTGAAGCTTGAGATGCTGAGAATAATGATAATAGCAAGTAACATTTATTGAGAGGTTTCTAAGTGTATGGCACACTTCTAAGCATTTTACATGTGTTGTCTCATTGATAAGTTCATTTCATCACCTTAACAACTCCTTGAGGTAGATGATATTATTATTCCTATTTTATAGATGAGGAAAGTGAGTCATAGAAAGGTTAACTATCTTGGCTCCTCTCACACAGTAACTGGAAGAACAGAGGTTCAAACTCAGCCACTTATAACAAGTATACTATGCCTGCATACAGACATCAAGTAGGCAGACGGATATATTTGTCTAGATTCCTACAGAGATTTCAGAAAATGCATTTGGATATCACCAGCATACAGATTTTTAAGGCTGGAAAAGATTAACTAAGGACTGTAAATAGGCAGTTAAAACCACCTGTCGATGGGGGTTGGCGATGACAGAACAGAAGAAAATGGGTTTAAATACCCACAGAAAGATAGGGAGGGCAAGAAGCTTAACACTCCTGGAAGAAGGTCTAAGACTGATACGCGTAGTCTAGGCATTTGACTATAACCACACCCAGATGTAAGGATTAAAACTTGGTGAGTAGGGCTTCCCCGGTGGCGCAGTGGTTGAGAGTCTGCCTGCTGATGCAGGGGACACAGGTTTGTGCCCCGGTCCAGGAAGATCCCACATGCCGCGGAGCGGCTGAGCCCGTGAGCCATGGCTGCTGAGCCTGTGCGTCCGGAGCCTGTGCTCCGCAACGGGAGAGGCCACAACAGTGAGAGGTTCGTGTACCGCAAAAAAAAAAAAAAAAATTAGAAATGAAAAAGGAGAAGCTACAACAGACACCGCAGAAATACAAAGCACCCTAAGAGACTACTACAAGCCACTCTATGCCAATAAAATGGACAACCTGGAAGAAATGGACAAATTCTTAGAAAGATATAACCTTCCAAGACTGAACTAGGAAGAAATGGAAAATATGAACAGACCAATCACAAGTAATGAAATTGAAATTGTGATTAAAAATCTTCCAACAAACAAAAGTCCAGGGCCAGATGTCTTCACAGGTGAATTCTATCAAACATTTACAGAAGAGCTAACACCCATCCTCCTCAAACTCTTCCAAAAAATTGCAGAGGAATTTGCAAAAAATTGCAAACTCATTCTATGAGGCCACCATCACCCTGATACCAAAACCAGACAAAGATACTACAAAAAAAGAAAATTACAGACCAATATCACTGATGAATATAGATGCAAAAATCCTCAACAAAATACTTGCAAACAGAATCCAACAACACATTAAAAGGATCATACAACGTGATCAAGTGGGATTTATCCCAGGGATGCAAGGATTTTTCAATATACTCAAATCAATCAATGTGACACACCATATTAACAAACTGAAGAATAAAAACCATATGATCATCTCAATAGATGCAGAAAAAGCTTCTGACAAAATGCAACACCCATTTATGATAAAAACTCTCCAGAAAGTGGGCATAGAGGGAAACTACCTCAACATAATAAAGGCCATATATGACAAACCCACAGCGAACATCATTCTCAACGGTGACAACTGAAAGCATTTCCTCTAAGATTAGGAACAAGACAAGGACGCCCACTCTCACCACTATTATTCAACATAGTTTTGGAAGTCCTAGCCACAGCAATCAGAGAAGAAACAGAAATAAAAGGAATTCAAATTGGAAAAGAAGTAAAACTGTCACTGTTTGCAGGTGACATGATACCATACATAGAGAATCCTAAAGATGCCACCAGAAAACTGCTACAGCCAATCAATGAATTTGGTAAAGTTGCAGGATACAAAATTAATGCACAGAAATCTCTTGCATTCCTATACACTAATGATGAAAAATCTGAAAGAGAAATTAAGAAAACACTCCCATTTACCACTGCAACAGAAAGAATAAAATACCTAGGAACAAACCTACCTAGGGAGACAAAGGACCTGTATGTAGAAAACTATAAGACACTGATGAAAGAAATTAAAGATGATACCAACAGATGGAGAGATATACCATGTTCTTGGATTGGAAGAGTCAATATTGTGGAAATAACTATACTACCCAAAGCAATCTACAGATTCAATGCAATCCCTATCAAATTACCAATGGCATTTTTTATGGAACCAGAACAAAAAATCTTAAAATTTGTACGGTGACACAAAAGACCCCAAATAGCCAAAGCAGTCTTGAGGGAAAAAAACGGAGCTGGAGGAATCAGACTCCCTGACTTCAGACTATACTACAAAGCTACAGTAATCAAGACAATACTGTACTGGCACAAAAACAGAAACATAGATCAATGGAACAAGATAGAAAGCCCAGAGATAAACCCACGCACCTATGGTCAAGTAACCTATGACAAAGGAGGCAAGGATATACAATGGAGAAAAGACAGTCTCTTCAATAAGTAGTGCTGGGAAAACTGGACATGTAGAAGAATGAAATTAGAACACTCCCTAACACCATGCACAAAAATAAACTCAAAATGGATTAGAGACCTAAATGAAAGACCGAACACTATAAAACTCTTAGAGGAAAACATAGGAAGAACACTCTTTGACATAAATCACAGCAAGATCTTTTTTGATCCACCTCCTAGAGTAATGGAAATAAAAACAAAAATAAACAAATGGGACGTAATGAAACTTCAATGCTTTTGCACTGCAAAGGAAACCATAAACAAGACGAAAAGACCACCCTCAGAATGGGAGAAAATATTTGCAAACGAACGGACAAAGGATTAATCTCCAAAATATAAAAGCAGCTCATGCAGCTCAATATTAAAAAAACAAACAACCCAATCCAAAAATGGGCAGAAGGCCTAAATAGACGTTTCTCCAAAGAAGACATACAGATGGCCAAGAAGCACATGAAAAGCTGCTCAACATCTCTAATTATTAGAGAAATGCAAATCAAAACTACAATGAGGTATCACCTCACACCAGTTAGAATGGGCATCATCAGAAAATCTGCAAACAAATGCTAGAGGGGGTGTGGAGAAAAGGGAACCCTCTTGCACTGTTGGTGGGAATGTAAACTGATACAGCCACTATGGAAAACAGTATGGAGGTTCCTTAAAAAACTAAAAATAGAATTACCATATGATCCAGCAATCGCACTACTGGGCATATACCCGGAAAAAAACACAATTCAAAAAGACACATGTGGGCTTCCCTGGTGGCGCAGTGGTTGAGTCCGCCTGCCGATGCAGGGGACACAGGGTCGTGCCCCTGTCCGGGAGGATCCCACATGCCGCGGAGCAGCTGGGCCCATTAGCCATGGCCGCTGAGCCTGCGCGTCTGGAGCCTCTGCTCCGCAGTGGGAGAGGCCACAGTGGTGAGAGGCCCACGTACCGCAAAAAATAAAAAAATAAAATAAATAAAAGACACATGGACCCCAATGTTCACTGCAGCACTATCTACAATAGCCAGGTCATAGAAGCAACCGAAATACCCATCAAAAGACGAATGGATAAAGAAGATGTGGTACATATATACAATGGAATATTACTCAGCCATAAAAAGGAACGAAACTGGGTCAATTTGTTGAGTTGTGGATGGATCTAGAGACTGTCATACAGAGTGAAGTAAGTCAGAAAGAGAAAAACAAATATTGTATATTAACGCACGTATGTGGAACCTAGAAAAATGGTACAGATGAACTGGTTTTCAGGGCAGAAATTGAGACACAGATGTAGAGAACAAACGTGTGGACACTAAGTGGGGAAAGCCGTGGGGTGGTGGTGGTGGTGGTGGTGTGATGAATTGGGCGACTGGGTTTGACATGCATACACTGATGTGTATAAAATGGATGACTAATAAGAACCTGCTGTATAAAAAAAAAAAAGTTTCAACATATTCATTAGGAGTACAAGCTCACAAATACCCAATGGTACATGATGACATGAAGTCTGTCAGGCCTAATGGATGTAGAGAAGAGAAAAATTCAAGCAACTACATAGATAAACTAGTGGATTTAAGACTTACTAATAGGTAACTATTCTTTCAGATCTAAAAAGGCTATTACAATTATGTAATAACCTATATGGGAACCATTTTGCTGTACACCTGCTGTACAACTGAAACTAACATAACATTGTAAGTCAACTATACCCCAGTATAAAATAGAAATTAAATTTAAATTTAAAATTAAATATAAAAAAATTAGAAAATAAAAAATAGAATATAAATAAATAGACTATTACATACAGAATGGGCTGACATCAACTTTAGCTGCAGGAGGAAACAAACAAAACCACCTTCTAATGACAGTAGAATACTGTAGAGTATGAATTTTAGTAGTATCCTTAAACTATCTCCCACTGTTACTGACCAACTACAAAGAGGGTAGTGTGACAGGGATGGTGATATAGTTAAGAACACTCCTCTGCCCTAAAGGCATATTCAGTGAGAAATTTACTCACCTTTATCCCGTATTTCACTTTCCCGGCATAATGCTTTATGATAAAAGCAGGCTCCATCACAGCTGGAAATTCAATGTAAGAATTCTCTTCATGTTGATGCTTAAATTTGTCCAGCAGTGTTTGATTTGTAGCCTGTGGAAAGCTGAAATTAAAAATAAAAACAAAAACACTAAAGAAAGATGCAGCAGCTAATACAGTAGGTTTTTTTTTTTTTTTTTTTTTTTTTTTCCTTGCGTTATGCGGGCCTCTCACTGTTGTGGCCTCTCCCATTTGCGGAGCACAGGCTCCGGACGCGCAGGCTCAGTGGCCATGGCTCACGGGCCCAGCCGCTCCGTGGCATGTGGGATCTTCCCGAAACGGGGCACGAACCCGCGTCTCCTGCATCGGCAGGCAGACTCTCAAGCACTGGGCCACCAGGGAAGCCCAATACAGTAGTTTTTTAAAATACATTTTAATTACATTTCCATCTAACACATTTAGCAACTCACAGAGAGTTTTCACTTAAATAGATTCTCATAACAAGCTGAAAAATGAGTAAAACAAGAATTGGTATTCCTATTTTGCAGATGAGAGCTCAAAAGTTGTGATGTGCCTAACTCACACTTTGCAAGTGGCAGAAGTGAGAAATTAACTCAGGTCTTTGGATATTTAGCTTAGGTCACAGTGTGCTACAGTACCATAAAACCCAAAGAATAATAAAAACTAAATCATATGTTGTTTGGGGTCAAGAACTTGCAGTAAGGGAATGATCTCTAAATTTGGACAGGTCCTTTAAATCACTGTCATTTTTTGTTTTTTCTTCATGTATGAATTAAGTAATAATTTTCTTACCTACACCAGTTACTGTATAGCTTTATATTATATCTATTATTATTTCAAATATACATCAATGGGTTTATACTCACTGATGAGCATTTCATATCTGGGAATCATTCAAATAATATTAAGAAGTAACTACATAATAGTACAGGCATATAAAACTTCAGAAGAGGAAGAAATCTCTAGTTGGGAACAATGGAAAGGTTCACAGAGGATAAAGGAGGCAATTAATTATGAGCTAGATGTTAAAGGTTGGGTAGGAGTTTCAAATACAGAAAATAATCACTGACAAATAAAAAGGACATGGCAAGTATCTTTCAGAGAATAGTTTTATTTAACAGTAGCTAAAATAATGAAAAATAATGTGACATGAGATTGTAAAGATGCTGAATATGATATCTAATGTGTAAAAATGATTCTAAAGTTAAAACGAAAATGGTTAATTACATAGTACGTATTGGAATCAGGAAGGAGAATGATCTTTTTTTTTTTACATCTTTATTGGAGTATAATTGCTTTACAATGGTGTGTTAGTTTCTGCTTTATAACAAAGTGAATCAGTTATACACATACATATGTTCCCATATCTCTTTCCTCTTGCATCTCCCTACCTCCCACCCTCCCCACAAAGCACTGAGCTGATCTCCCTGTGCTATGCGGCTGCTTCCCACTAGCTATCTATTTTACGTTTGGTAGTGTATACATGTCCATGCCACTCTCTCACCCCGTCACAGCTCACCCCGCCCCCTCCCCATATCCCCAAGTCCATTCTCTAGTAGGTCTGTGTCTTTATTCCCATATTACCCCTAGGTTCCTCATGACCTTTTTTTTCTTAGATTCCATAAATATGTGTTAGCATACGGTATTTGTTCTTTCTCTTTCTGACTTACTTCACTCTGTATGACAGACTCTAGGTCCATCCACCTCACTACAAATGACCCAGTTTCGTTTCTTTTTATGGCTGAGTAATATCCCATTGTATATATGTGCCACATCTTCTTTATCCATTCATCCGATGATGGACACTTAGGTTGTTTCCATCTCCTGAGAATGATCTTTGATATCAGACAGTCATTGCTTAGATTACCAATTCTGTCTGTGACCTTGGGCAAGCTAGGTACAACCTTCTTTAAGAACTGGTTTGTTAATACATAAAATGAGTAAAATGAGGTAACACAGTGCTAGTAGAATTAAACACTAGTTAAAAACACCTAAGACTAGCTGACATCCTATAGGGATGACATAAACGTTACCTACTTTTTATGTTGCCAAGTAGGCCTGCTTTTGCATTCAAATACTATCCCATCCTCAAAATATCTCAACTATCTAGGCTCTTCCTCTCCTATCCAGAACTCTCAGCCATTCTAGAATGGATTACAACTCTTAAACAATTTCACAGAGTACCGCAACAGCCTCTACAGTAGCCTCAGCGATTCTAATTTTACTTTGTTTCATATCACCAAATGGAACTATCAAAATAAATTTTCCTACAATAGTGTTAATTGTGTGCCTCTCTTACTCTGGAAAACTGGAATCCAAGCTCCTAAGCCTAGACCAACCCAACCTCTGCAAACTTACCCCTCACTACTCCACAGCAGAATGCTTCTTTTCAGGAAGGATGCTCACCTCATTGTCTCTAGGTAAAGGTTTATTTACCTTCTAATCCTCTGAGTAATCAAAAAGCTTATGATTTGCTTTTCTCTTACTTTTGAATGGAGAAAAGAAATTTTGAAAGGAAGGAGGACAGATATGAGAACAATTTTATTCTAAACAAGGAAAGATGGAAAGAAAAACTCTCCACATGTCCTGCATTCAACAAACATTTGTGGATACATACTACATAACCAAGCAAAAGGGCTTGGAACAGAGTCAGAGCAGACACTGTGCATTTCAAAGCTCTTCAGCTAGTGTTCCCCAAAGGCTACCTGCTGGGGCAGCCTTAGAGTAGTGTTTCTTTGCATATAAGAAGTACCTCTGGGAGCTTTCAAAAATACCAATGCCTGTACCCCATCTCCTGTGATTCTACTGAACTGATGCTAGACCAGTGTAACTGATGTAACTAATGTAACTAAATAGTACATCAGTACTATTTAGAAGTTTCCCCAGGTAATTCTTATGAACAGGCAAGATTGATAAAATGCTGTCCTAAATGAATGCTCTGATCTTAACTTCAGCTTGTTAAAATGCAGATTCTGATTCAAGAAATCTGGGGTGTAGGACTTCCCTGGAGGTCCAGTGGTTAACACTCTGCACTTCCAGTGCAGGGGACACGGATTTGATCCCTGGTCAGGGAACTAAGATCCTGCATGCCGTTCGGACATAAAAAGAAAAAAGAAAAAGAAATCTGGGGTGGAAGTAAGAGACTCTGTACTTCTAACAACCTTCAAGGTGCAGCCAGTGCTGCTGTCAGCAGATCACACTAAGTACTATAGAAAAGACTGATAACACTCTTTGCTTACACCATTCCTCCTTTCTAAATTCCACACTGCATCCTTTAGAATCTAGTTTATAAAATGTGAACAGCCAGTAGATATCAAAGACAAGATTAAATAAGACTTCTAACTTCCAACCCATGCATCTAAAGCACTACAAACACACTGAATGAAGCAGGAACACCACTAAGGATATATTTCATGTAATGTATTCCCTATAGAACAAAATATTTTTAGAGGAAAAATACTCAAAGTGATTCCCAAAACAGCTCTTCCTAAATGAGACTAATTTATTTTCAACCTCTCGTTGTAGGTACATGACAGAGGGAAAATATTTCATGTCTTTGCATCTTCTGGAGTGTTAAAGCATAGAGACAAAGCTGGTCCATTTACAAGGGGAGGTAATAATAGGACTGACTGACTGACTTATAAAGAAAGGAAAGTAATACTATGGTTTATTAAAAATTTTTATGGAGAACTAATATAAAAGCATAATTGAAGCGATAATTAAGAGATTATTCAGTCCAATCTCCTACAATAATACCGACAGATGATGCAAAGTAATTACTATAATGGGAAATTTTATTACTTTATGAAGCAGTTGCTAATCAGCTCTAATGATTAGAAAGTTCTTCCTTATATTGAGCCAAAGTCTGTCTCCCTGTAATTTCTGGCCATGTGGCTTAACCCCAGAAGCTTTTGAGTAACAGCAAAGAGGTGCTATTCTCTTCATTGGGTAATACTTACATTTATGTGAGGTACCAACTGACCAGGTAAAGGTGGTCTTTATAAAATAAGATGTGCACTCAATGAAATTTTGCTTAAAGAATAACAGACCAGACAAAACCCCTTTGCTCTATTCATGTTTTAATTATATATCCACTAGCTCATTTGCTGCTCACAACCACCATAAGATATACAGCACACAGCATTATAATTTATCATCATCATTTCCTTTCTGCATGCAAGAAAACTGAGGACCAAGGCTATTAAGAGATTTGCTAAGGGGAGTTGGAATACAACCCTGAACTTCTGACCCTACAGCCTAAGTATTATGGTGAAGCAATACAGGACAATACTTCAAAGCACATGCTTATTACTCTGCTCTCTGTATCTACGTGTTTGTTTTTGTTTGGTTTATTCATTTATTTTGTTTTTGTTTGTTCATTAGGGGCATGGGGGAAGGCAAAATTGGTAAAAGGGATCAACTGTATGGTGACAGAAAATAAATTTTTGGTGGTGAGCACACTGTAGGGTATACAGAAGTAGAAATATGATGTTGTAAACATGAAACTTATATAGTGTTATAAACCAATGCTACCTCAATAAAAAAGGAAAACAAAAGCTCAGGTTAAAAAAATAAATAAATAAAGCTTAGTTAGAAATACCTGGAGTCCAGGTATTTGAATTTGAATATTTGAGTTTGAATCTTGAGTCCATCATTTACTACATATATGATCTTTTTCTTGATTGCTTAAACTTTCTTGTTCTTTTACCATAATACAGCTCAAACAAAAAGAACTGCTTATCATTTCAATATCTACCATAATGGGTCTCAACACTAAATATCAAAAATCACCTATGATGCTTTCTAAAATAAAATACACCAGAAGTAAGGTATTCAAGCTGAGTTAAGAACTAATAACCTTACAATTTTATAAGAGACAGTGTATGTTTCAGGACATATAGAGCAATACAAGAAACTTTCACGACTTTGGACATAAAATTAAAATATTTTTTGTGTTGGCTGCATTTTATTTCATTTAGATTAATGGAAATAAATGTGATAGACTGGTGATAGAGTGGGTAGATGTAACTGTTAGCAGTCTCCTTTCCAATATATTTTGCATTCTGCTATATTACTTTATAATTCTATGTAGCAATTCTGTGTTCATGGCATATTAACAGGGTGACATGTAACTTACCATACATACCAGGATATTCTGAGAGTAAAAGTAGGCACCGTTAATAACTAAAGTGAACAATAGGCATAAACTTTAGATTGTCCCACACAAACCTGGTATATAGTCATCCTATGATAGTAAATGCTTAATATTTTATATTGTAGTTTAATGAGTGTAATATTAAGCTAGGAATCAGGCGAACTAATTCAATTTCTAAATATTTTACTAAAGAGTCACAGAAAACCAACACATACTTCACCACTTTGGTTTCTCCAATTCTAGATTTGCCATCTCTTAGGATAATTAAACTATAAATAATACTTTATAGAGCACTGAGAACACTCTGGAGGATGCTATAGGAAGCTTTATTTCTGAAGCATACATATAAGTTTAGGATATTGAACAGTGTTATCAAGGGATGGCAAATATCTAGCATATGTTGCCACTTAAAACCTGCACAGCCATGGCAGATATCATGAATCTATTATTATCTTCTCTTCTGCAAAACAGGAAAACTGCAAACACATCTCATATGTAAAACTTTTGTTTTTAAGAGCACTGAATAGTCAAAGATATTAAATTGAGCTGGTAAGTTAATGGGCTTTATGTAAGTTATACAGTCTTAATTTGGTACTTGTAAATAGCACTAAGTAGGCCTTCTATCTATAATTCTCCAAGAGTTAAGACAGCAGGAGGATTTAGAAAGACCTTTTTTTTTTTTTACAATCAGTTAATTTACCACGTAAAATTGCTGTAAATGATAATGTGTACATATTTTCTGTTCAAATATTCAACTGTAAACTTCTTGTTAAGACTGTTATCTTTCTATTGCTTTTGTATGGAATGACACTGCAAATAAAAAGGACCTTCTTTAACTGGGAAAAAAAACCCTTTTATTTTAGGTTAATTTTTATTGGCATCTAGCTGGCAACTAGACGCCAATAAAAATTTAAAATAAACCCATTCTTAAAACATACATACACAAACTTAATTCAAGAAGACAGGAACACAAAACAAAAACAAAAAAATAAATATAAACCAACAAATCTAACATCAAAGTGACTCTGTAGAAGAAATCTGGAAAAACTCAAGGAAAAAATGAGTTCTATAGTGAAGTCCATCCAACTTTTTTAGAAACACACAAACACACACAAAAAAGCCATACATGGGAAACTTTGGCTCTTTACTTAATAATGTTAAGAAGAAAATGTAGGGCTTAAGAAGACATGAAAAGCCCAAATGGCCAATAACAAAACTCAAAAGAATCATACTCACTTGCTTTCTTCATCCAAAAGATGGAGCAGGCCTGTTGGTTTCTTGCTAATAAGATTTATGCAACAGGTATTATCAATATAATCTATATTGTGCCAGCTGATACCTTCAGCTCTATATTCCTCCTAGGAAATAACATATTAACAATATATTCATCTTGCAGAAAATAACAGGAATGTGAGAATAAGAACTAAAAAGCTTTTACCAGGATTAAAAGAATAGTTTAAACTTTTCTCTTTTAAATCACTAATCCACACAATGGAAGAATGTATAAATTTCACTTGTATAAAACCTCAATATACGGTATGTCTGTTTTCTTTTAAAAGTGCATGCAACCAAATTTTCTGGTTAGAATCCTATTTGTGATTCCACTCAGATGAGAATTTAGGGCTGGATTTGTTTTAGCCACACTATCTGATGACTGCACTAAGGAAAAATATAAAATGAAAAAGCCTAATTTCTCCCACACGACTCTAAGCCATCAAAAAGAACTGCTGGGGCTTCCCTGGTGGCGCAGTGGTTGAGAGTCCACCTGCCGATGCAGGGGACACGGGTTCGTGCCCCGGTCCGGGAAGATCCCACATGCCGCGGAGCGGCTGGGCCCGTGAGCCATGGCCGCTGAGCCTGCGCGTCCGGAGCCTGTGCTCCGCAACAGGAGAGGCCACAACAGTGAGAGGCCCGCATACCGCAAAAAAACAAACAAAAAAAAGAAGTGCTGGATCATCAACAATGAATTTAATGAAACAATGTCTGGGAAAAGTGGAAAACTATCACCTCCAGTGATCACTGATATAAACCATATGGAATTCATACACACTGAACTTCAGCAAAATAAAACTCTTACAACACCTTTCAAAAGGTGGGGGCATGGTAGTTTCCCAAATTTCAAGACTAAATAACTCAAAGCTCACATACTAGCAACTATTCAGAAATCTTTTATGAAGCCCCCATTGGTCCTTCCTCAATTCCTATACTAGGAAATCTTCTTTTATTCATCTCTGTGATGCTTTAACTTTTAAACTGTCAGAAAGATGCCGCTGAGCACAAAGAAGTTACGTTTCTACACTGCACTGATATTTAGGCACCAAATAAATATCCTGTTCATCTGATGGTTTTAGTATTCACTGATTACACTTGCATACTTCTCTACAAATATGGTGGTTTTGTGAAATAGTGATTTTGTAATTTTATTATTCTTTCCATATTATCATTATCCTGTAAAGAAAAAGTGGACCCTACTATAAACTACAGTCATTCTAATTGGGAAAGGTAAATGCTTAATTCTTTCCTCGTAATTAACAATTTCACGAGTAAGTAATGCTATACAAAGGTCAACCCCAAGCAGTGGTAAGAAAGTTTTTTCCCTATTCTTTTTCAGAGCATGGATAAAAAGCGTACTAAATAGTACGAGCATATGGATTTTTATCGACATTACTAGCAGTCCAAAATCCCTTCTCATCCCCTTTTCCCAATGATGATTCAGACCCTCTTGCCCAAAGTTAACTATTATCCTAATTTCTAATACCATTGATAAGATTCACCTGTTTATAAATATAATGTAAATAGAATCATGTAAAACATATTCTTTTCATCTGGCTTTTTTTCTTTTACTCAACATTATGTTGTAGGATGCACCTAAAGTTCATTCATTTTAATTGCTGTAGGGCTGGGGTTGTGGAGTACAACATTTGCTCATTTATGCATTGTCCAGGCTGCTTTCTCAATGTAACAGCAGAGTTGAGACCATACGGCCCCCCAAACCTAAAACACTGATTTGTCTGGTCCCTTTACAGAAAAAGTATGCCAAAATCGGCTACGGAGATTAAGTCTCAAACTTTAATATACAACAGAATCATGTGGAGAGCTTGTTAAAAACAGAAGCCACAAACCCAGAATTTGCGAATAAGTAGGTATAGGGTGGGATCCTATATTTGTATTTCTAAGGAGTGCCCAGGTGACGGCAATGGTACCAGTAGGGGTAGGAGAACAACTCCTCTTTGAGAACCAATGCTGTTGGGTATTTATATACAATGTATTCACCTATTTATATACTATTAATAGACATTACACTTATTTCCAATTTCTGGCCATTAAAAATAATGACATTATGAACATTTCTATATAAAATTCTTGTTGAACATTTATATACATTTTGAGCGTGAAACCACAGGCTTATAAACTACACATGTGTAACCTCAGAAGATACTGCCAAACAGCTTTCTAAAGTGGTTGTACCAATTTATGCACCTACCACCAGTATGGGACTTTCTGGTGTACAGTATTTCTCTAATACTTGTATTATCAGGCTTTTCCATTTTAGTCATTCTGGTGAATGCTTAGGAATATTTAATTATGTTTTTAATTTTATTTTCCCTAATGACTAATAAATGAAAAATCTTTTCCTATGTTTACTTCCCATTTGGATGTCCTCACATGCCTGTGTTCCTGATAAAAATTCTTAGAAAACAACCTTGCCTTGTTCTCAGTCTTAGGAGGAAATCATTCCATCTATTTCCATTAAGTTTGACATTAACTGTTGGGTTTTTTGTAAATGCCCTTTATCAGGAAGTTCCCTTCTATATGTACCTAGTTTGCTGAGGGTTTTGTTTTGTTTTTAACAAGAATGAATATGTAAATTTATCAAATGCTTTTTACATTTCTATTGAGAGCACCATGAATTTTTTCTTTCGTTTTGTTAACAGATGAATTAAATTGATAGGTGGTTAGATGTAACATGCAACAGGAAAAACACCATTTGGTTCTGATGTATTATCCTTTTATATATCTTGCTGGATATATATTTGTTTAGGATTTTTAAATCTACATTTATGAGTGAAATTGACAATTTCCACTTCTAATAATATCCTTCACAGATTTAGAAAGCAATGTTATCCTGGCCCCCAAAATGTGTTGAGAAATGTCCCCTTTTTTTCTATTCCGCATAAGAATTTATGTCAAACTGAAAATAATTCTTTCAAAGCAGAATTCATCAGTGGTGCCATTTTGGCTTATACAATGTTCTTTATGGAAAGGTTTTTAATTACATATTCAATTTCTTTAATAGTTACAGAGTTAAACTTTGTATTTCATCTGTGTCAGTTTTGAAGTTTTTTCTCATATCATTTAATAAGGCTTACAGACATGAAGTTGTTTAGTGTATCCAACTATCTTTTTAACATGTGCAGGATACACAATGATGTGGTCTTTATCATTGGAATTCTGGCTATTTATATCCCTCTCTGTCTCTCTCACCAATTTCTTAAGGGTTATATCAATGTTATTAGTCATTTCAAAGTATTACTTTTCACTCTGTTGATCCTCTCCCATAATATATTTGTTTTCACTTTTATTTAATCTTTTTTTTTCTTTATTATTTCCCTCTTTCCACTTTCCTTTGGTTTAGTTTGCTGATCTTTTTCCAATTTGTTAATCGCTGCTCTTCAACCTTAAAATCTTCTAACAGCTATAAAATTTTCCTTTAAGTAAATCATTAGTCACACTTCTTTAGTGACTCAAGTGCACCTTTAGTCACAAGTTTTAATATATAATATATTAAGTTCAATATATTTTCTAATTTTTTTCAACTTCTAGGCTATCTAGAAATTCATTACTTAATTTTTAATCATAAAGTATTTGCCAGTTATCTTCTTGTTGTTGGTTTCTGATATAAATTCATTATGGTACTGAGATCTGTGTGATTTCAAAACTGTGAAATTTGACCCTTGTTTTACGGTCCAGTATATAAGCAAATTTTGTAAATTTGCAGTTATCTATATATGTCAGATAAGTATTTGCCTTAAAAATCTTCTATATCCTTATTTGATATAGGCCTCAGACCCAGGGAAATTGGCATTCTGACATCAAGGGCAGGCAGAACTAGGTACCCTCAAAAGCAGCCACCCAGGCTTCCCCGGTGGCGCAGTGGTTGAGAGTCTGCCTGCCGATGCAGGGGACATGGGTTCGTGCCCCGGTCCAAGAAGATCCCACATGCCGTGGAGCAGCTGGGCCCGTGGGCCATGGCCACTGAGCCTGTGCATCCGGAGGCTGTGCTCCGCAACGGGAGAGGCCACAACAGTGAGAGGCCTGCATACCGCAAAACAAACAAACAAACAAAAAAACGCACCCACCCAATTCTCTGGGTGCTTTACATCTTCTGTATCCTTACCAATTTTTTGTCTGCTTGTTCTATCAGCTATTCAGCAAGGTATGTTAAAATATTCCACTAAAATTGCAAATATATGTTTGTTTTTAGTTTTATCAATTTCTTGTTTTATATACTTTGAGGCCATATTATGAGGTACCTATAAATCTGGAACTGTATACTTTCTGATGAACTGATCCTTTTAGTATTATCAAATACTCCTTTTTTATCTCTAGCAATGCTTAAAGTGTGATACTAATACAGTTATATCAGTTCTTTTGTTTTTGTTAAGGCTTGCTAAATCTTTTTCCATCCTTTTACTTTTAACCTTTCTGTATGCTTATATTTAAAGAGCCTCTCTTAGAAGGAGCGATTTAGTCTTATTTTATATTCAGCCTGACAATCTTTGGCTTCTAGTTGGAGTAATTAGTCCATTTATATTTAATGCAATCACTGGTATTTGTGGGATTAAATCACCATCTTACCATTGGTTATTTGTCCTGCTTTCTTGTTATTGCTTTTATACCACTTTCTTGCTTTCTTTTGTGTTACTAGAGTTGTTTTTACTTCACTTGCTTCCTATATTAACTTGAGAGTATTATATTCTTTTATTACTTGGTGGTTATTGTAAAATCAAAAGACACATTCTTAACTGATCAATGTCTAACAGAGAAAAAAATCTTCTATCACTTGGCATTTAATACAAAGATATTACAATACCTTAAATTCTGTATCCCTTCCTGAATTAAATGCTATTGTACTCACATGTTTTAGTTCTATACAGACATTAAACCACAAAAGATATTTTTATCTTTGTCTAATTTTGTTAAAATTCATTTAGATTCACCCACTTTTTTACATTGTTCATTGCTTTTCATTCATTCCTTCAACTCTGAGTGACAATGGGAATAATTTAGTTACTGCCCAAATAACATGCTTCAGTTTTAAGGAAAATACCCCACTGTCTTCTGGCATCCACTGTCT